TTAAAAAGAATTAGCTTAACTAAAGTAATTTGGGTTTTTTAGGAAAAATATAAGAACTCTACTAATTGTTCTGGCAAAAACTATAATCTACACTATTGGTGTACATTTCAATAAAATAAAACATTATTATAGGTAAAGGTAAAGGTAAAGGCCCTCCCGTTATCGTCGATTTGCTCGAGTGGGCCCAGTAACGTCTCCATTGGAGACTTTGTTGTTACGGTGTTTGGCATATCGAATACTCTCCGTAGCTTGCCGGGCTCTCCGAGAGGGGCGGAGGAATCGAACTCGGGTCGGCAAGCTACCGAGAGTATTCGATATGCCAAACACCGTAACAACAAAGTCTCCAATGGAGACGTTACTGGGCCCGCTCGAGCAAAAACATTATTATACTTTTATAAAATTTATCCTTGAATTTCCTCTGAGCTAGTCAACATGGTTACATTCCAGTAATTGAATTGCTTTAGTTATAGATTTTACATCACAATCTTATGGCATTTAAACTCATTGCGATGCTTATTAATATCTATCCTTCCTTCCTTCCTTCCTTCCTTCCTTCCTTCCTTCCTTCCTTCCTTCCTTCCATCTTCCTTTCTTCTTTCCTTCCTTTCTTCCTTCTTCACTTCCTTCCTTTCTCTTTTTTAGCATTCTTCAAGAATCTCAGCAAGAATAAAAAAATGGTTCCGGTCTCTGGTAAGACAATAAATTATTTATGATCATTTATGGTGAGGGGTGGGTGGTGATAGCTACCTTGAGCTCAGTTTTTCCATTTTTGTATTCATCCACGAAAATTATCCACTGTGGGGCCACTTAATCCATTGCTTTTATTGGGAGTCTACCAATCTTTTAATTTATAGGCAGTCTTTTATGTCTTTTATGCATATTATTTGGCCCTGAAGAAAAATGACTTAGGAATTCATAACTCTACATTGACCTCTATAACCATTCTTCATATAGTATAGATTTTAGGTCGCTGAAAAAAAATGCAGGTTTTGATTCACCATATGGTGGCACTGTTTATCAGCCAAGAACGCAGTTCAGGCAGTTTTTTTTTTTTTAATGATTAAACAATGTAAATATTTTAACATTATATATAACATTATATATATTTCTGTATTCATTTTAATATAGATATAAATAAATTCATTTATTTATTTAATGAATAAAAATATAAAAAAAGGAAAATAGGTCCAGAATCCTGTGATAATCAATACACAGGAGGCTTTAGACAGATCTGGAAATTCTTAGCTGCTATTAAGTGACAAACTTTAAGCTGCATTAGAGACCTGTGAATTGTGGGTTTGGTTCTTAAAGAAAAAGCTATAGAACATATATGCAGTTCTGGGAACATTGGTGATTGCATTGAACAGGCAAGGGGAATTCAGTGATTTCCAAAATACATTTTCTTATGTACTATTTTAGTACACAATTAACTTTATTTTCTACTGATATTTAATGTAATTTTATATCTCACATTATAGTAATATTTTTCACATTCTAATTTTATAGGATTTTAGGAATGCCTCATGTGAAAAATTGGTATTTATTCCCTTACTCTTTCATGAGCAAACATTATCTGAGTATCTTCCATGTGCCAGGGCTCCTGAGAAACAGAGATAGGATAAACCATTCCCCTGTCCACAATTGCTAGTGGTGTTTTTGGGGAAACTGACTTTAGAGATTTCACCTATATGCTTAGAAGAGGCTCTGGAGGGTTCTGAGTAAAGAAAGAGCAGCCATCAAGTCAAGATTTTGTAAAAGGCAGCTATAGCTTCTCAAAGGTCTTTGTTCTCCTACCTTTCATTTGGTATATAATCATTCGTTACTTGTCACAGGTCCTAGTTTTTCCTTCTTAATCCTCCTCCTTTTTTTTTTTTTTTTGGTTTTGGTCTACACTCAGAGGTGCCAGCAGTGGCTGGTGGGGTAGGGTGGGGGTGGAGAACTATATAGCATGTTAGGAATAGAATATGGCTTGGCTGCATGCAAAGCAAGCACCCCTACACACTGTACTATCACTCCTTACCATCCCCTATTTTTCGATTTAAGCTATTATGATGTGATAATAGTATTGTTGTATATTAATAACATTTTACATTTTACTATATGCTTTTAATTTAATTATCACTATTATCCTCCATTACTGAAGATCCTTACTTTTACCCATATTTTATTTATTTATTTCTTTTCAAAATTTTTGTTAGTGAAACACCATGCGGTACAGATGTAGACTTACAAATTTCTGTGCTTGGGTTTCGATTATACAATGATCAAGTACCCATCCTTCCACCAGCACCCATTTTTCACCACCGCGGATCCCAGTATCCCTCCCACTGCCCATCCCCCCATTCTACCCTTTTGTTCTCTCTCTCCTTTTGGGTGCTGTGGTTTGCAAAAGAGGCATTGAGTGGCAATCATGTTCGGTCTATAGTCTCCTTTCAACATGCTTCTCCCATCCTTGGAGGATACTCCCAACACCCTTTATTTGGTGCTCCCTTTTCTATCTGAGCTGCCTTTTCCCCTAGCATGTGTGGCTGACCTCCAAGCTATGGAGTAAACCTCCTGGTACTTATCTTGGCTATTCTTGGTTGTTAGTCTCCTAATTTGTTACTTTATGTTCCCCAGATGAATGCAATCTTTCTATGTCTGTCCCTCTCTTTCTGACTCATTTCACTTAGCATGATACTTTCCATGTAGTACCACTTGTATGTAAATTTCATGATTTTATTTTTTTCTAACAGCTATATAGTACTCCATTGTGTATATGTACCAAAGTTTCTTTAACCAGTCATCTGTTCTCAGGTACTCAGGTTTTTTCCAGATTCTTGCTATTGTAAAGAGTGCTGTAATGAAAAAACAAGTGCAGATGTCACTTCGACTATACTTTTTTGCTTCTCTGGGATATATTCCCAGGAATGGTATTGCTGTTACCCACATTGTAAAAGATAGAAATAACTGAATCCCAACAGGGGAAGATGACTTGTTCAAGGTAATGCTGAGTAGATAGAAGAGTCTGGACTCCTGTTACTTAACCACTCTACTGAAGTAAAAGAAACAGGATGGAGCTGTCTACTTCACTGGCATCTATTCTAAATATTCTGAGCACACATATGAATCCTTTTTCTTAATGAGCATATTTGTAGTGAGTGGGAATACAAAACTTTAAATGGTGTGACATGTCCAATGCCCAGTAAATCTGTCAAGGGGGGTGTGGTTGGCTGTTTGGCATAGGAAAGAGACTGCAGGGATTAGGAAGCATTATGAAGGAGTGGAATGTTCAAGGAGCTGGAGTGATAGCACAGTGGTAGGGCATTTGCCTTGCACGCAGCCAACATGGCTGACTCGAGTTCGATTCCTCCGCCCCTCTCGGAGAGCCCGGCAAGCTACCCAGAGTATCTTGCCCTCATGGCAGAGCCTGGCAAGCTACCCGTGACGTACTCGATATGCCAAACACAGTAACAACAAGTCTCATGATGGAGATGTTACTGGGCCCGCTCGAGCAAATCGATGAACAACGGGAGGACTGTGACTGTGACACTGGAATGTTCAAGCAAATTTGCAGAGGTAACACAGGAACTGGGAACTGCAACTGTTTTGACATCCTCATAAGAGAAAAGGTGTGTCAGAGAAGATAGAGTGGGGTGCTCTGCTCTTTCTCATTAAAAAAGATTTCTGGGAGTAAAGACCAAATTGGTCAGACTTAACAACAAACTGATGTGAGAGAATGGTTTGAAATCGGAGTTGGACCGGAATCTCCAGCACGTTGTTTCTGAAGTGTGCAGAACAACAGGTTTGGGGAGAAGAGAGGGAGTATTTATGGCAGTTGGCTTTAGCAGACTTCTTTCAGATTCTGGGAGGCATCTTGTTGGTTTACATTCATGTGTTATTTCAAATGGTGCTTTTTGTTAGCAGCAGATCTTTCTTTGTCAAATGGAGTTTACTGCTGTATAAGTAGGTTGTGCTAGCACTAATGAGTGTGGTTTGACCAGTGAAAAATTAATAGCTCAGGAAAATGTTTCTGCATATGCAGATTGTTTTTATATATTGGTGCCTCTTCAAGAGGACAGTGCATCTCGATTTTCTCTACTCTGATCTTTTATATCTCACCTAAAATTCTTTTTATTTTTTATTGAATCACAGATACACAGTTACAAAGTTGTTCATTATTGGGTTTCAGTTCTATATGTTCCATTTATATTTAGGTTTCCATTTTACCACAATGATGGAAAAAGCAAAAAATTTTCTTGTAGTTTTTCAATTTTTGAACAATAAATACAAACATGTTTAAGTAATATTTATTAATGTACCTTTTATCTCTATATTTTTAGACTTCCCTGATACTATCCTATCCTATTTATTTTATCTTGTTTTAGGTTGTACAATCATGCATCATTTAACAGATATTTTGGCTGATGACAAATTGACAGTATACAATGAGGTTTGAACAATATGCAATGTATGTGTAAAAGTAGTCCCAATAATCTATGCAATATAGTCAGTAAACAATAAGTTGTATTATCTAGATTTATGTAAAGGCACTCTGTGATGTCTGTACAATGATGAAATCTCCTAATAATGTTTAGTCAGAGTGTATTTTCATAGTTATATGATGCATAATTGTATTTTGAATTGAGAGAAAAGTGATAATGTACAAAAAAGCACATGGTAAGTATGATACTATATGTGAAAACTAAGCTTATTAATTATTGTGACTGTGATATTAGCTATTTAATAGCAATAGTTTTCATAATTTATTTCATTAGCTGTAGATGGTCAATATGTTGATTGGTAATTTTGTTTTATTTTGTTTATTAAAAAAAGAAAAAGGATCAAATGCTTCTATAGAAGAAAAAGATACACCTCTACCTCTTGAAACTCCAGGAAAAATAGAACATCAAGGAGAACCATCAATAGAACAGTAATCAAAAGAAATATCACCAGAACAACCAGAAAAAAATCCCAAAGAACAAGAATCACTTTAACATCAACCTCTACCTTCTGTACAGCCATCCCAAGAGCAGATATATGATGAAGAAGAAGCCTCTGAAGAAGTATCACTGGGTCAGTCATCCCAAGAACATGTACTTGCCATAATAGTACCCCTTGAACAGTCATCTATGGACCAATTGTCCCAAGAACAGATGCCTTACACAGAAGAATTCTTTGAACAATCCTCTATGGGTGAACCATCTAGAGAACAGGTACCTGACATAGAAGAACCCCTTGAACAGTCATATATGAATCAATTGTCCCAAGAACAGATACCTGACACAAAAACATCCCTTCAACTTTCATCCAAGAGGCGGTCATCCCAAGAACAGATTTCTGACAATAAAGAAACCCATAAGTTTTGATCAAAAAATACACAAACCACTTAGCAAATAGCCATGACTCCCCACACCATAGAAAACCAACTTTGAGGCAATCTTCTCAGAACCAATGGAATTATTGAGTACAGTCTGAATAACATATACCCTTAAAAATAAAATATGCTATACTATGAATAACAACAATCAGAAGCTAGAACGGATCATAAGGCAAATGAAAATACAAATTTTCCTCCACATTATGCTGAAGAAGAGGTGTGCGGGTAGAATATTAAAATTGTGAATTTGATAGCTTGGTGGCCAGGCCTGAAGTTTGAAAAATGATTAAAGATAAATTTATCTGGAATTCCTTTCTCCCTAAATGTAAATCTATAAGGGAGGGAAGTGATTAGGGAGATCTACTGTATCTTGTCACCTGGCTCAGGTCTCTTCTTCAAATTGCTGGCCTCCATCTGGTACTGTTGAGTGACTCAGACATTCTGGAAAGCTAGAAAAAATACATATATTTTTAATTTTTGGGTCACACCCATCGGAACTCTGGGGTTACTTTTAGCTCTGCATTTAGAAAGTATTCCTGATGGTGCACAGGGGACCATATTGGATGCTGGGGATTGAATGTGGGTCAGCCACAAGCAAGACAAGTGCCCTATCCAATATACTATCAGTCTGGCCCCTAAAACTGGACAAATTTTAAATAGTTGTCTATAATTTATTCTTCTTATGTAAAATTTAATTAAACATTCTATAAATATATATATAACAATGCACATATGCATACACACATATATAATATATAATATAATTTATACACATACATATATTCACATGCTTTGTATGTTGGCCGTAAATAATAGTATTCATAGAATGGTATGTTTTTGTTAAGAGAACGAACTCTCAAGTCAGGCTACAAAAATTTGGATTCTCCACTCATTACATATGTAATGACACAAAGTCTGTGTCTCAGCTTACAAATTCATAAGTGGGAACAAACAATAATTAATAATATATTTGTTAGCATAATTTAATGAGATGTTACTATAATATTATTTGAAACAGTGGTGAAAGCTCAGAAGTTAATAAAAACATCAGCTATATAGTTATTATTTTATTTTAATTATTTCTCTTTAATAAAAAAACAAGCAAATCATTCTAGCTAGAGCTTTTGTAAATATTATTACTATATTTGACTCTTCTGAGCAATGAGCTTCTTGAATTCCAGAGCAAAAAATAAAACAAGGAATTTAGGATTTTTAGACTTAGTTAAAGATCAAACCCATTATTTTTCTAGTAGGTATGCTGTTTGACATGTCGGATAAAGGGAAGCCATTATTTCACCATATATTTAGTTTATTAATTTATTGTTAAGCTTATTTACAGTAGTTGTTACACCTTATGAAGGAAGTTTCAATAAAACTTTCCATCTCATTTTTAGATGTATTTATTCATACAGCTTAGGACTGAAAGTTTAATGCTTCACCCTAGAAATACAATGATGGGCCCCCAAGGTTCTTGGGGACTACCCTGGCTATACCTGGAGATTTTTGGGGTGGGACCATGTTGTATCTGAGATCAAATTTGGATCTTATGTACTTACCTCTTTGACTTATTTAGTTTTTGGTGACGTGTCCATTGATCTGGCTCTAGTCCCATTTTTAAGCACATATTTAGGTACTTGAAGAACTTTTAATGCTGATTTTATTTTAATTTTTTAATGTTTTTGGCTTTACCCAGCAGTTCACAGGGCTTGCTTCTAGCTCTGTGCTCAGGGGTGACTCTCACAAGTAGTTGGGGAACCATATATGGTAGTGGAGAGGGAACCAAGTTGGCTGCTTGGCCCTAAGTGCCTGGATCACTGTAGTTGCTCTCTGAAGGGAAGAACTTTAGAAATGCATTTCTCATTCCTTTGTGCCTGAGATTTCTATTCTATCTGTGCTGGGGCATGCCATTATGGAAAGAGGAGGGATTAGGGGTAGAATGCAAGTCTAGTCTACCTTCCACCATTTGGTGACCATGTGATCTGGAACATTTGCCTGTCCTTGTTGATAATTAGTTATCTTTTGTAAAGTGAGAATGATGATGCTAGTTATCACTGGGAGCAAATCGTGGAATTAATAGTGGACTGTGAATTCCATGAATTCATCAAAGAGGTTCGATCATTGGCTCAAGTCACATGTAGCAGGAATAGGACTTGAACTATTGTTCTTTCCCCTGCCCCCCCCCCCCCCCCAAGACATTCCAGGGGTTGGAGTGATCGCACAGCAGGTAGGCCATTTACTTTGCACGCGGCCCGACCCGGGTTCGATTCCCACCATCCCACATGGTCCCCTAAGCATGGTCAGGAGTGAGTCCTGAGTGCATGAACCAGGAGTAACCCCTATGCATCGCTGGGTGTGACCCAAAAAGCAAAAAAAGAAAAATAGGCATTCCAGATCCACAATAATATTTTAGCTGCCTTAGCATAATTACTGCATGAATCAAATGAAATATATAGTGTTGTATTGGTATAAAAGAGATTGATTTTTATTTTAATCGCTACTTAAATTCTGCTTCACTTAAAAATACACCACCCAAGTGATGTCCATATTTGGGTTATAATTTTAGAGTAGTTTGTGTGGTAAGAGTATTGATTAAATAACTCCTTAAGATTATTATATATGTCATAATTGGACAAAATATGCATCTTTTAAACAATTTCTTTGTATATTACCACATTTCATTTGTGAAATTGAGAGATAACTGGGAAAGGATGGACAAAGGGGAAGGAAAGACAGCAAAGGTCATTTTTAGATCAGTTGAAATGAACTCACCTGTAACTCTGACAGACATTGATTTCAAAATATATTTCAACGTTGTTTTCCATATCCATACCTTCTTGGCTGCAAAGTACTACCTACATACTTAGCTATTTAGGGACTTTTAATAGTATGTACCTTATCTCTCAGTATACAGCAAACAAAAGAAAAAGACACAAACAGAAACATCAACTCTGGTGAGAACCGTGAGAGAAATGCAGCCAGAACACAGCTTTGAAAATTTTTTTTAAAACCTGCCTTTCTATGTCTTTCATAACGTCTTGAGTTTTATATTTAAAAAAAATCATTTTCTATCCACTGAAAGCCAATTTTTCTACAATCATGGTGTTTCCATCTCATGTATGGAAAATTTCTTATAATTATTATTTTTTGTATTTGGGTCTCACCTGGTGATGTTCAGGGCTACTCCTGGCTCTGAGCTCAGGAATTACTCCAGGCAGAGCTTGGGGGGAAGGGGCGGGGAATAAAAACTGAGCTAGTCATGTGGGAGGCAAGCCCCCTATGGGCTGTAGTATTGCCCCAGCACCCTTTTGTGTGGACATTTTAAAAGCAAGAAAATCATGTCTTGGGTAAAACAAACTCAGCAGTGGTGTCGTCTCTAAAGCTAATAACGATGATTTTCTGGTACAGTTACACGTTCTTACTCTTTTTCATTTTTCTTTGGGGATTAAGTAAACATTGGAAAGGTTGAAATTTGGTATTTTATCATTAAACCTCACGGAATGATTCAGAAGAGTAGAGGATTTTGGAATAATCTGCGTGCACACTCACTCCTGTGCCTTAGACTGCATGTATTAGAAAGTGTTGAAAGTTTACAAGCTTGGAAAAATGTCACGAAGAGCTATCTAGAAATTGTTCTGTGAAATTTAGAGTCTGAAAACATTTTACTTTCTGAATGGACAATTCAAAATGAAAAGAAAACTGTTCAAGGTTAGTTGGAAAAGATGCTAGCAAATTGTGTTTATGAAGGCAAAAGTGCTGTACAACTAAGAGCAAAGACTTAAGTTTTCTTTGTGTGTGTGTGTGTGTGTGTGTGTGTGTGTGTGAATTTTTATTTATTTGTTTTTTTAAAAAATTTTATTAGTGAGACACCATGAGGTACAGTTGTAGACTTACACATTTTTGTGCTTGGGTTTCAATTATACAATGATCAAATACTCATCCCTTCACCGGTGCCCATTTAGCAAACATTTTTTGTTCTATTTTTGACCACACTCAGTAGTGCTTCGGGTTTACTCTTGACTCTGTGGTTAGGAATCATGCCTGTCAGTTCTTGGGAGTACCATCTGGGGGATCAAACCTTGGTCTGACAAATGCAAGGCAAGAGTGCTATCTCACTCTGTGCTATCTCACCAGCCTCATTAACATATTTTGTCAAACAATGTGTCTCCAAATGAATATCTGAGGAATGTGATTTTTTTTTGGTTAAGTACATGTAAGATATTTGTCTATTTTTTTTACATTCCATTATATTTTAAGTATCCAAAGAGTGTTTACTTTTCCTTTAAAAATTTATATGTTAGACACAGATTACCAAGAATGAGGGAGGAGGTGGGGGTCCTGGGAATGAATCTAAAGGTTATATAGAAACAGACATGGAGATTCTTGAAAACTTTGTTAGCTGTGTTGTGTAGTTACTTTATATGTAAATACCAAAAGCATTATTGCAATCACAACAACATTCCCTAAACTGTAATAAAAATAAATTATTAAAATTTATTCCTATCAATAAGGTTAAATTTTTATAAAAAATTTTCTTGATATTTTTATATCCAATATCTTAGATACTGATATGTAAACAAATTTCATTTGCATTTACAGTTAAAATATTTAACCATTGGCAAAAGACTCTTAGTTTCCACAGGTATTTTTGTAAATGATTCTTAAAAATTTTTGGAAGTTGGTCTGAATTAAAATGTATTTTTTATTAACTCCAAATGTCAATTCTCTAATTTTTTTCTGAAATTTAAACTTTCTTTTGAAAATAGAAACATTTTATGTGCTATGAACCCATTTCTAAAATCTGAAAGAATTACAATAGTTTATAATCTCCAAGTTTAAGATCTCCAAGCCTACTCGAATTGGAGTTGAGCATCCTCCACCCAGATCCTCCAAATTCCAGTAGGCGGGGGTCACACCCACCACCTGGCCCCCTGGCGCCATGTAATCCCATCAGCAGCCAAGACTCAGAGACTATAAAATCCAGCCCCTGGA